GCAAAAAAGTGTCGATATGTCTAAATAATCAACATAATCAATAAACATTTAGATTTAAAACTTATTATATTGTGACGGTAAAAATTGTGAAATTATGACATGGACTATTGGACCAACACTTTGTTAACTTTTTTTTTAAGATATTCATCTTAAGATCAATCTCTCTATAATCATAAGATCATTCTATAATCATACAAAACACAATCAAAATTGACAATTTTATTAACAATTAATTATAATAACACAGTTCGGCTAATTTTAACCATAAACTAATCATTTTTGGTAATAGTTCAAAATCAGTTAAGATTTGTTTTGAAATTAGTGCAGCCACTTTTGAAAAAAAAATGCCATATTACCATAAATCACATACATACTTAAAATAATTAAATTCTTAAATTCGCCTATTCTACTTTATGTCCTCTAACTTTAACTTAATTAATAATGAAATAGATATTCATAAACACTTCACCTAGTCAAATAATCTCCATCTGCTCAAGTTAACCTTTTTATTTCTTTTTAAATATCTTCCATTATTTTATCTTATTCTATGTAAATGAATAATATTGTTACATTCTGTATTATGTAATTTTGTGTAAGTGCATTATTAATTTTACTATATATTGTTATCCACAATGTAAAATCATTGTATTTTTTAGTCCTCTTGAAAGAAATCTGTGGGCTATATATTTACCCTTTTAAAATTTTGATGTAAAAAAATTTGGAGTGACTTGAAATGTTGAGTAGCGATATAATTTTCTGGCGGAACATAAATTTCTCCGGAAAGTTAAAATTATTTTAGTACAGTAGAATTATTTTGTTATTTTCGTATAGCAAAAAACCACACAATTAGTTTTACGTATGAAATTGGTCAAATTATTAAATAGTTAAAAAAAATTTGCTTAATTTTTTGCCAAATTACTGTATCACTTACGTTTGTTGTCAACACAGTCACCTTCTGGTATAGGTTTCATCCCCTGTTTCTGTCGCATCACTATATAACTTGGACGCATATGACCTCTTTGAGAATTGGCCATTCTAAACGTCCGGCGATATTGGCTGATCTCTTGGGCGGTGAGAGGCCGCCTGCAGCGGTCACACTGCACGGCAGGCGAGAGCGGAGCCGCGTTTACCGAACAGCAATCATGGCGAGGATACCGAACTACGCCGCCTGCAGCAAGAGCCGACCCGAAGGATTTTCGCGAGAGGATGCGGAAGGAATTATTTCTGAGAATAAAAAAAAGATGATAGAATTAGATAAGTAAACTAGCGGGAAAAGGCATCGTGCCTTAAGGCAAATTGCTGGAACTTCCCGCACTGTAATCAAAAATCTTGGTACGGAATCCAATAAAAAATTACACAAAGTGTACACATTTAAAATCTCTATAAATATCTGATAATTTGATGACATTTTTTTAAACTTATTTTTATTGAGAATCCATAAACGCTGAACCTGCATTTCCAAAAATTTAATCAGTTCTTCATCTTGTTGATACAAGTAAAATGTTTTTGAGTTATTAAAATCGGACGCGCCTTCTCTTAAAACTGAGACACCGTTTTTGGCACTTTTTAGCCCCGTATCTTCGGAACGGCTAGACATGCCTTTGCCAAAAACTAATCAGCACGTCTCCTTATCAATACGAATCGAATGTTTTTTGAATTATTCAAATCGGTTGATCGGTGTTCTCGAAATCGTCGACGAAAATTTGTATCCGAACACACACACGCGCACGCACACACGCACACACACACACATACATCTATTTTTTCTAAGGTATGCCAAAATGTTCAGAAACCTTTGAAACGTAAAGATATAACAAAATTTATTTTCGATTTTTTGCGATTACTATAACTTACCCTACGGAAGTTAACTAGGTTGCTTGCATGGCATCGTGCCTTAAGGCAAATTAGTGGAACTTCCCATACAGTAATTTAAAATTTTTAAATGCTTTAATTTTTTTTTGAAAATTTAATTTTTTTCAACGCAATCGCGCTGTTATTTTAAAGACAAAATATCAAAGTTGCAGTCTAATAGTTAAACATTATAAATCTTGGTACGAAAACTTGATAGAATTGTAAAAGTAAATGTATATAAAAAATAGAAAATAATCAAATATGGATGGATCAAGCATTGAGTTAAAAAACACGACATAAGGAGAAGTTTCAGCTTAAGATTGTAAGGTTCTTATTAATGTTGAAGTATTAGAATAATAAAAAACAAATACATA